AAAAATCTTTCTTCTAAACGTTGGATGAATTTTGTAAATATTATAATTGGAGACCGTTTTAAAGTAAAATTCAAACATATAAAAAGTAAAGATAGTTATCTTGCAGATTGGTTAAGTAGATATATTCATTCTTTTCTTGTGTAGGATCAAAATGAGACACTCGATTTCAGGCAAAACCAACAATAGAGGCAACACCTCTAAAGTTAGGTTCTATATAGAAGGGCTCAATTTATATCGAATTGCTGATCAACTTCTTAACATTCAAGAGAGCTTTGGCAATTTGAACCTTTTTGAGAACAATTTAAGAACTTTAACCCAATATTTGAAAAATATAATAAATTTAATTATTATGCTCTAATCAAGGGAAAAACCCTTAGAGTTTATAAGAAGTGGGATGAGATCTTGTTCCAAATACAGGATTTTAAAAAGCCACTCTATAAAGGGTTTTATCTCATTGAAGAAGTTATTCAATTAGCTCAATTAGCTCAATAGCATCTTGGAGATAGCTTTTTCATTAGCCCTTATCTTTCTCCAAATTTGCATGAACCTTTAGGTGAGATAATGAAGATCACCTTAGCCCCACTAACAGGTGGAAAATAATTAATTTTCCCACTAGGAATTAATAAATATTTAATTAAAGGATCTTCCTCAACTTCTACAATTCCATTTGTGGATGACACTCAGAGGCAACTCAGGATGTATTTCAATCCACATGTTCCCTTACCCAAGCTACCAGATGATTCAAGATAGTTGATTTTTCAAAAAGTAGAAGCCTCAAGCCATGCTAAATTAAAGGCAATTCAATAATTCCTTCAACAGATAACCTAGGATGGTATCAACAAATCTAGTATAGGCTTCACATGGGACACCTATTATTCTATTATAGAAGGAAGACTCAAAAGGTGTAATAGGTGCGAAGGAGAAATTGTAGACGGAATCCCTCTTGAATGATTTAACTATCAATGTCAACTCATTTATAGCATTTGTAGAGTTTTGTTAGATCTATCCTCATATAATCCAATTCAGTTTTATATGAAGGGGAAGTGATCGAGTTAACTCCACAGTTACTCGATTATGATCTTCTTTTTCAATTAATTTTTGCAAAGATTGTGGATATTGATCTTATGGGAAGAAAATTTGTCATGGTTGTCTTAGAAAGCATGCCTCCCAACTATATTGAAGCATTAATTCAAAGCAAAGCACTTAAATGGAAGGATAGACATCTACTTTCAGCACAGCACAAAATTATTCTAAGAAGAAGAAATGGTTTACTGCCTTTCTACAGAGACATTCAGGCTTGGCCATCCATTACTCAGTCCCTCACAAAACAACTCAAACACTGGAAAGCTAGAACAATTGCACACAAGTAGGTCATGGGAGATGATTTTACAGCTGGATACACCCTCTTTACTAAGGATAATATTCAAAAAATTTATCTTGATCCTAATGTGTTTATTCATAGTCAGAGTTAAAAATAGATTCCTTTCTTGCCTTAGACAAGCTACACTCAGCTACTAAATATTTACCTTGAGGAGTATACAAATGGTGAAGATCAATCCGAATATTGAGGCATCGGAGTTGATTTGGGTGGTGACTTTCCAAATAACGACCCAGACGATGAGATACATTTTTATGATGATCTTGACTCAGTTGGATGAGAAGATATTGAAAATCAAATAGAGGGATAATAAATAAATCAGACAAAGGAATAGGCATACCTCACTCCAAAGTGATTTTCATGAGACATGTTCCTCAAAAGTTGGTCACTTTTTATCTTTCTAAAAAGATAAGAGCAATTGACTGTGGTTATCTTTGTAAATAAACCTAGGGTTAATTAATCATAGTTACTTTTCTGTAACTAGAGTTAATTTTACTATGGTTATTTTTTAACCTAGGTTAGTTTCTCCTCTATAAATAGTAGGAGTTAGAAGTTAGAAAGCAGAGGACGTGAAAGAGATTGTAAAAAGTCTTAGTAAGTAGAGAGTAGGAAAGAGTTCAAAGCAAGTTCAAGTGTTGTACTCATCCTTCGTAACCTGTGCTCTTTCAAGTATGTATAAAATATATTCTTAGTTATTTTCTTTACTGGGTTATTCAGCTTAAAGAAATTCTTTGGCAAAGAGAATAGTTTGTAGCTTTTATTTGTTTCATTATTCCATATTCATATACTTATATGTAGATAAAGAGATTCCTATGCAAGCTGTTTTCAACTTCTTTCTCAAAGATCTTTAAAAAGGAAATATAATTGTTTTTCATAACCAACACCACTGTGGAGAGTAAGAAAGTAAAACTTGAATAGCCTAGTAGAAAAGAAATTCTTTACTACCTAGCCCTATTAGAGAGTATCCATTTAAAGCTGAGAATGGTGTTTTAGGAGAAATCACCAAGCATTTGGAAATCAAGTTTTCTTCATTGGGTTGGTCACTAGCTTTCTTGGGAAAAAGGGGCCTCACTGGGTTTTGAGAATGGAAAGATAATGAATTAAAGGGTAATTGAAAGATGTTCAAAAATAAAATGGTATTAGAGCTATTTCATTTATATATTTGCATGTAGTATAAAAAGTGGACAAATTTTAGTCGACAAATGAAAATCTTTGCCAAAAATATAGTTTGTCTTATATTTTGTTTAACTTTATCAACCCTTTAGTTAAAACTTCTAGTTTTGTTACATAAAAGTTTATTTGCTTTGTGTTTAAAATGTTTAAAAGTCAAGTTTTCATTAATGTGTGTTAGGTTGTATAGTTTTCTTTCATATCTGTCTTTATTCAAATTGTAGGATTTTTATCTTGTTTATCTTTCACTCGGTGTCAGACTACATTAATATAGTTGTGTTAAACGTCAATACTTTCCAAATTGCTTTCTTTTCCCATTTACGTAGCTTTGCCTTCTTGTTGACTAATTTGGTCAATTTTGTTTACTAATTTGTCCTTTCACTAAGATTTGGTTTCCTTTTTCTGTCTTGTATTTACTTCCTTATCTGTTTGTCAGTGTTATAATATCTATTTACCTTTTATCAATATTTATTACTATTTATATTTATAACTCTTATCAAATATTGTTTACTATTATTATTGATATTATTATCTATAACTGTATTTTGACTTAGACAAAAATTTTATCTTTGTAAAAATATATGAGTTTAGATTATTTAGATTTAGTTATTTCACATCCATATAAAAAACCAAAGGTAACTTTAGATAATCATAACATAGTGTGTGGTTTTCTAGGTTTTAGTCAAAATTTACAATCAGATAATAGTCAGTTAAATAGTATTATAGACTTAATTATAAATTTCTTAGAAAATTATAAAAAAAAAAGAAAAAGAAAAAGAAAAAGTAGTGTTCGAAAGGTTCCAAAACTTTAAAAAGCATTACAACAACAATATTGTGAGACTAATTAAAAATCAGTACTATCTACAACAACAAATTGAATTTGTCAAAAACAAAGTCAATTTAATTACTTCTCAAATTTTGAATAAAAGAGTGTCAGATCCTTTTGTTCAGAATCTCTATCATTAAACAGTTACCTTGATCCAAAATCAAGAAAAGTTGTTAAAACAAGTCCAAAAGCTTTAAAAATTAATTTTTGGTTGGTTTGAATGGGTGAAACCTCTTTCACTCAAAATTCAAACTATAAGGAAACTTTAAAAGAAGCAAGAAAATTAGGAAATCCCTATGGATTAATCAATTTTCAACCTTTAGTAGTCCAAGATTAGGTATTAGTAGGATAGCAAAATACCCAAATAATTATGCTACTACTAAGCCTTGAAATTTAAGAAGAATTCTTAAGTGAAATAAAAGACTTAAAAGATCTTTTAAAGGACACTCACTCAAGAGCAATAAAAATATGTTAAGAGACTAAGACACAAGATCTTCTTCAAGAGGCAAGTGAGAAATTGATCTAGTAAGAACCATTGACATAAAAGAGGATCTTAAGCAAATAAAGTCCAATCTTTTGTTGTTATCCAAAATAAAGGCTAAAGAACTTTAAAGTCTCTAGAAATTACATTGTCTTATCTTAAAATCCAAAAATTATGGAATCATCTAAAATCATAGACAACCTTTTGATTAGGGTGCTTTCTAAAGAGAAACAAATTCAAGAATCTGTAAAAGTTGAAACTTTAATAGATCTTAAAGAACAAATTAAAAGATTCAAAACTCATAAATTTGACTTGGTCAAATCCAAGTATCTTTATGAAAATGCCAATTCTTTGTTTAGTGCTAAATTAATCTTTTAACATTATCAAGAAGGCCAAATATCTAGTGTCAAAGACAGTGATAGTGTCACCCTAAGATTGTTAAGTGAGAATGGATATTTTAATCTTGAAAGAATGAAATATTCATTGGTTCACATAGGATTGATCACCATAGGAGTTAAGACAGTTCATAGAAAGGGTCTAGGTACAAAATGCCTCTTAACCCTTTTAGACACAAGACATCAAGAGATGATTTAAGCCTTTATAGGACCTATCGAAATAGATGTATCAGAGTAAGGGGGATTTGCTTACTTTACTCCCGATTTCCGAATGGACATAAATGCCTTTAAACAATTTATAAAAGTAGGAATCATGACTAAGGGCTACTCCATATATATATATATAGAAACTGCACATCAGTCCTACCTCCAAAAGAAAATTGGAGTCCCAAACCAAAATGGTGTTGTTTCTCTTAATCCTTTTGCAATTGGCTCCATCACCTCCTTGACTCCTCTAATTCCTTCAATTTTCAAACACAATCCCATGCCTTCGACCTAATCCATAGCACCCACTATTTTCACCCCATTCTATCCCTGCAATTCATCATCTCCATCGACAGTAACAAAGAAGGGATCGAAGGATGGTAAGTGCTTTGATAAATTGTCTACAATTTGAGAATCAACCCATAAAAGTCCAAAAATAAAAAATAAAAAATCCCTCTCTCCCACTATCGCAATTTGCCTACAAAAGATTCTATATTTCCACCCTCACACTTTGCCCTTTTCACTTTTTTATTCTATGCAACTTCAAATTCAGCACCAATTTTTTTATTTTGAATCCCAAAAAAAAAAAGGAAGAAAAAGATAGAAGAATGGAGCTACCTGTGATAGATTTGGAACCGTACTTGAAGATCACCAGCCAACTTGGTGGCGACTCTGCCAAGGCAGTAACTGATATCGAGGTTGGATTCGGTAAGTTGTGCGGTGAGGTGAGTTGTGTGCTTAAGGAAATTGGGGCATTGCAGGTCAATGATCTAAGATGTCTGGCAGAGGACAATGATTGGTTCCTTAACATGATGGAGAAAAAATTGGTGCTAAGGATTAAGTCAATGGCATAGGATTATGTTAGAAACATTGAAGGAATCAGAGGAGTTGAAGAGGTGAGAAAGTGATGGAGATGGAGATGATTGCAGAAGGGCGAAAAAAAGTGGGGGCAGGGGATTAAGAGAAATGACGTCATTTTGGTTTGGGACTCCAATTTTCTTTTGAAGGGAGATAAGACCAACAAACGTCTTTCAATTACCCTTTAATCCTTTATTTTTCCAAGTTTCTCAAAGCCCAGTGACTCCTATCTTTCCCAAGAAACCTAGTGACCAACCCAATCAAGAAAACTTCATTTTCCAAATTCCTAGTGATTTCTCCTAAAACACCATTCTTGGCTTCAAATGGATACTCTCCAATAGGGCTAGGTAGTAAAGAATTTCTTCTCTACATGGCTATTCAAGTTTAACTTTCTTACTCTCCACAATGGTGTAACTTATGAAAAACAATTATCTTTCCTTTTTAAAGATATTTGAGAAAGAAGTTGAAAATAGCTTGCATAAGCATCTCTTCATCTATATATAAGTATATAAATATAGAATAATGAAACAAATAGAAGCTACAAACTATTTTCTATGCCAAAGAATTTCTTTAAGCTGGATAACACATTAAAGAAAATAACTGAGAATATATTTTATACAAACTTGAAAGAGCGCAGGTTACAAAGGATGAATACAACACTTGAACTTGCTCTAAAATCTTTCCTACTCTCTACTTGCTAAGACTTTTTACAATCTCTTTCACAACCTCTTTCACAACCTTTACTATCTAACTTCTAACTCCTATTATTTATAGGGGACAAACTAACTTAAGTTAAAAATTAACCATAGTAAAATTAACTCTAATAATAGAAAAGTAACTATGATTAACTAACCTTTTAGGTTTATTTACAGAGATAACCACATACCACATTCAGTCATTCTTATCTTTATTGAAAAGATAAAAAGTGACCAACTTTTGAGGAACATGTCTCATGACAATCACTTTGGAGTGAGGTATGCTTGTTCCTTTATCTAATTTATTTATTATCCCTCCATTTGATTTTAGAAATTTTTCCATCCAACTGAGTCAAGATCATCATAAAAATGTATCTCATCATATGGGTCGTCATTGGGAAGGTTGCCATCCAAATCAACTCCAATGCCTCGATATTTGGATTGATCTTCACCATTTTTATACTCCTCAAAGTAAATATTTAGTAGTTGAGTGTAGCTTATCTAAGGTGAGAAAGGAATCTGACTCTGACTATGATAACCACATTAGGATCAAGATAAATTTTTTGAATATTATCCTCAATAAAGAGGGTGTATTCAGTTGTAAAATCATCTCCTATGACCTGCACCTGCATGTGTGCCATTGTTCTAGCTCTCTAGTGTCTTAGTTGTTTTGTGAGGGACTGAGTCATGGATGGCCAAGCCTAAACGTCTCTGTAGAGAGGAGGTAAACTACTTCTTTTTAGAATAATTTTGTGTTGTGTTGGAAATAGATGTCTACCTTTCCATTCAGGTGCCTTGCTTTGGATTAATGCCTCAATATAGTTGGGACGCATGCTTTCTAAGATAGCCATAGCAAATTTCCTTCCAACAAGATCAATATCCTCAATCTTTGTAAAAATTAATTGAAAGAGAAAACCATAATCCAAGAGTAATTGTGGAGTTAACTCGATGATTTCCCCTTCATATAAAAACTGAATTGGATCATAAGAGGAGAGCTTTAAAGAAACTCTACAAATGCTATAAATGAGTTGACACTAAAAGTCAAATCATTTAAGAGGGATTCCATCTTTAGTTTCTTCTTCACACCTATTACAACTTTTTATTCTTCCTTTTGTAGTAGAATAATAGGTGTCCCACCTATACTAGATTGGTTGATACCATCCTGGCTATTTGTTGAAGGAATTGTTGAATTGCCTTTAATTTAGCATGGCTCGAGGCTTCTACTTTTTGAAAAATTAGATGTCTTGAATCATCTGGCAGTTCGAGTAAGGGAACATGTGGATTGAAATACATCTTGAGTTGCCTTTAAGTGTCATCCACTAATGGAATTGTAGAAGTTGAGGAGGATCCTTTAATTAAATATTTATTAATTCCTAGTGAGAGAATTAATTGTATTCCACCCCGTAGTGAGGCAAATGTGGTTTTTGCTTTTGCAACTAGAGGTTCCTACAAATCTGGAGAATGATAAGGGCTAATGAAAAAGTTGAGCCCTTCTATATAGGACCTAACTCTAAAGGTGTTTCCTCTATTGTTGGTTTTTGCTTGAAGTCGAGTGTCTCATTCTAATCCTACACAAGAGAAGAATGAATATATTTGCTTAGCCAATTTGGAAGATAATTATATTTGCTTTCCATATGTTCAAATTTATTTTGAAACCATTTCTAGTTATAATATTTACAAAATTCATCCATCATTTAGAAGAAACACTTTTTTTCTTTTTTCTTTTTTGAAAATATTTGCAATTGCCTCACAGTCTATTCTAATTGTAAAGACGTCATTTTGGATAAAAAGTCTAAAAGAGTTTAAGGCATTTATTACTCCTAATATTTCAAAGTCAAGGGATGTTAAAGAATTTTTGCTTTTTCCATACAATCCACTAGAATATCTACAAATTTTTTCTTCTTTTTGAGATGAAATTTCACTGGGTCTAACTAACAAAATGGCTCATCATCCTTCATTGTTATTATCTGTCTTGACTATTTTATAGTCTAATTCCAATGGTAGAGTTAAATAGGGTAAATTTTTAACTTCATCTTTTATTCTTTTTACAAGTCTAACATCCTCACTATTGAAAACCTTTTGTCCTTTGGGACTAAGTTTTGCATATAATGGTTCAATTAGTTTAAATAGATCTTTTATGTACATTTGGGCATAATTGAGTATACCCAAGAATTTTTTAAGTTCTTTTGTTTCCTCAATTTTGTTGAGAAAGTAAAATCTTCTTAATTATATGATCTTGTAATTGAAATTTTCCCTGTCCAATCCTCATTCCTAAAAATTCAATGTACTCTTTAGAGAGTTTCCTTTTCTTTTTATAAATTATAAGGCTATTTTTCAGGAATTTAGTAAAAACAATCTAGAGGTGTTTAATATGCTTAGCCTTAGTTTTGCTAAAGACGAGAATATCATCTATGTATACAAAGACAAAATCAGAATATTTTTTGAAGATCTTATCCATCTTTCTTTGAAATATTAAAGGTGCATTTTTTAATCTAAACGACATGACTTGCCATTCAAAATGTCTTTCGGGACAAATGAAGGCTGTCCATGGAATGGATTCTTTTCTATTTTGATCTGCCAAAAATCAGATTTATAATCAAACTTGATAAAAAATTTTGAATTTTGGATGCAGTTGATTAGTTGGTCTTTATCTGGTATCTTGTATGCATTTTCGTAACTGTTATCATTTAGCCTTTTATAATTTATGATAATTTATAACCATCCTAGCTTTTCCTCGTTTAATTTCTATGTGATTTCTTACCATGAAGGTTACAAAGGAATGTCTAGAACTGGAATGCTTTATGACTTGTAAGGCTAAAAGTTCTTTTATTTAAACTTCAAATTCTTGCCTATCAAGTGGACTATGATCTATCTTGCCACAACTAATTCTAAGTTTAGGATTTATTATATCTAATTTTGCTGTGTATTTATTTTGATCCTAATATTTGATTGGGTCTCCTCCTAAGACTTGAGTTTCATCAACTTTTTTGATTAACTCATCTAAGTTCATTTTTTTGTAATTTTTATTTTTACTTTTATTTTCTTCTTTTTGCAAATTTGAAAGAGTTTTTTCTATATTTACATATATTTCTTCTTCATCACTAATTAAGTCATTAAAAAACTGATCATCTATAGAATCATCAAATATTTCCAAAGTCTCTTTTGAAAGATTCGGTATATAATTAGAGTTTAATAAATTGTCAAAAAACTTGTCATCACAACTTAAATAATTACTATTATATTCAAAATGCTTATTTAACCTATTTTGGATTTTTTGGGGTGCTATTTCTTCTGGTTTTGGAATGTTCAAGACATATCTATATGTTGGAGTGTAACTGGTTCGTTTTGCAAACTGTACTCCATCAAAAGAAATTGTTAATTGGCCTTGACAATGGGTGATAAATTTAAGCCAATTATGAAGGGATAACTATTATGGATATTATGTAAAATTACTTGAGGTGGTGTGTACTTTTCTCTAAAAGTTTTTGATCCACAATCCCAAAAAATTTTTTTTGCATCCTTTAAGCATTTATCAAATTTTAGTTGAGTTCCATCCATTTGAGTTTCATAAATAATTTTCATTAGTAAAACTTGAGAACTCGAGATTTCAGCTTCAAGGATGTGAGATTTTAATGCTCTGGTATCAATCATTCCTAAGATTTCTTTAGCTTCTCCATTTTTAAAGGTGATTGAACACTGTATGCTAAGTAAAGAATTTGGATCTTTGGGATTTGTTGGAACATTAGCTAATAAAGTAGAGAATTGCTCCTCCTTAATTATTGTCTGTTCATTAGCTTATTTTCCTCTGAAAGGAATTTTTGCTAATTGTTTCTCCAGTTCTTTTATTCTTTGGTGGAAAAATTCTGTTTGTTCTAATTGCAAGATGTACTTATCTTTTTCATTGAGAGTTTCATTCATTGATTTCATTTCTTGCACTAGAGACAATTTTTCTACATCTCTGATTAATTGTTCTTCATATAATGTAGAGATGTGCATTTGTTGTACAGGTTTGGAAGATTGTACCTGTTTAACCTCTTTATTTGTTATTTTGTAACAAAATATACAATATACTTTTGAGCGTATTGTACATTTCATTTTTGTAAAAGGCTAGGTGTACCTATGACAATCTCGATATTTTTCCCACTGTGGTGGTTGATTTAATTGCCATAAGTGTTTGCAATCAAAATCAATCTTAATCATCACGATTTCAAAACTATTTAGTTTTTTTATCCAAAGAGTATAAATTGCTGAACATTTTAATCTTCAGAATCTATATCTTCTTCATATTCTAAATGAGATTTAGACATATCTTTGATAAACACATCTTTTGAAATGATGTTATAGACATTACTTTCAGATTCATATCCGCTTATAGAGATGATGTCTTCCTCTTCCTCAAGAGTTGCCCATATGTGAGATCTTTTCGTTAGTCTATGCTTGTTTGGGCATCTGTTTGCATAGTGTCTTAGATCTTCACATATATAGCATTTTTTTTTTTTTTTTTGGTTTTTTGGTTTTTTTCACATATTTCTCTCTTTTTTACTAGTTTTTCCTTTTTTGAAGGTTTTGTTAGGTCTAAGAAAATATGCTTTCTTTTTGATGAATTTTTTGGGTTTACATGAAAAACATTCTTTTTTGGAATTTTTATATTTTTTTCCTCTTATTATATGATTCTTTTGAAGAACCATGTCCCCTAATTATAGATTTACAAAAACTAAATTTTTGCTTTTTAAGAGATTTTTGAATTTGAATATCTATGCATATTTCTCTTAATATTTTATATATAAACAAAATCTTAAGATCTGCTCCCTGTTGAGGTACAGGGGTAGAAGTAAACCGTTTTTCTTTGATTTGTATACCAAGGGTGCTTGAAAGCTTATAAAATATTTTGTTATTTAGGTTGTCATCAAATCCCTATCCCGTTCTAACAAAAAGGTTAAGAAAATCATTGCAAAAGGACTTGATTTGATACCAAGAAGTTAACTGAAGGACCTCAAGTTCCTCAATAACTTTATTTTATAAAGCTTTTTCGAAATCAACAGTTACATCAAATCCTAAGAACAACTTTTTGATTAAAAAGGTAAAATTACACGGAATTTCTCCCAAGTTTTGTGTTTCAACAACTAAGGTTGGGTTCTCTCTTTTAAAGGTATTCCAATACAATTCTACATTTGGGCCTAAGAATGTTTCTAGGAATTCAAACATCTCACCATCCATAGATCTATTGATCCATGCCCAGCAAGCATATCTTTCCCACTGATCTATTATTTTTGCCCAAAGTTTTGGATTCCAACTCGGTAATTCTAAAATAGTCCCTTGTTTTTTTGTAGTAGGTAACTAGTTTGGGTTAACCTCCATTCTTTTACCAAATTGTATCCTCTCTTTATTTTCTCCCCTATGCTTAAGTTTTGCTCTAGATCCAAAGACTCTAGATGTTCTTGGAATTTCATAATTTTCTTCAATTTCAAATCTAGTTGGAGCACTAGGGTTCTGGTTAGGATTTGGACTTAGATTTGGATTCTCAAGGGTTACATTCATGAATATTTTCTCATGTTGGGATTCATATTCATGAATAATTTGAAGTATGGGTTTATGATTTTTTAAGTAAGCATCAACTAAAAGTTCTCGATCTAGAATTTGATCTTTTATGTCATCTCCATAATATTTTAGAGTTAAGACTTCTTCAACATTGACTTCTTTTCCTTTTGAGGAAAAATAAGTTTCAATAAATTCTCATTCTTCATTATATTTATCTTTGATTGGTCCCCATTTTGCAAAATGTTTGTCCCTTTTTCTTAAGGTTTGAAGTCTAGAAGGTTCACTTTCTTCATTTTCAATTTCTTTAGTGAAGTGTAACATCTTGATTTCAATGGTTTTTTCATTTTCTTCTTGTTTAGGAAGAATATTTTCATAATCGTTAAAGCTTAGACTTGTTTCTCCCTTATAATTTTAATATAAGTATAATTTTAATATAAGGTATTTCAAGTGGATACCATTATTGGTTTTCTTAGGAATTTTGGTTATGTTCCATTCAGTTCCATTTAGATAGGTTGAATCTAAATTTTTGGCTTGAATGGTTCTAATTCCCTTTGTCCCATATATTTCATATATTTCCTTACTAGTTACTCTATAATAGGTGGTGCCATTATGAGATATTTGGCTAGTGAATCCTATGCAAATTAAAATATTTTTTTCTCCCTCAATCATGGAATAGCCTTTGGTCTTGATTCCTTCTTTTATAAATTGTTTAAAGGCTTTTATGTCCATTTGGAAATTTGGAGTAAAGTAAGCAAATTCCCCTTGCTTTGATAGGTCTATTTTGATAGATCCTATAAGAGTTTGAATCGTATCCTGATGTCTCGTGTCTAAAAGAGTTAAAAGGCATTTTGTACCTAAACCCCTTTTATGAAGTGTTTTGACACCTATAGTAATCAACCCTATGTGGATTAATGAATATTTTATCCTTTCAATATTAAAATATCCATTCTCACTTAACAATCTTAAGGTGACACTATCACTGTTTTTGACACAAGATATTTGAACTTTTGGATAACACTGAAAGATTGATCCAGCATTAAATAGAGAATTAACATTTTCATAAAGATACTTGGGTTTGACCAAGTCAAATTTATAAGTTTTGAATCTTTTAATTTGTTCTTTAAGATTTATTAAAGTTTCGACTTTTATAGATTCTTGAATTTGTTTTCCTTTAGAAAACATTCTAATAAAAAGGTTGCTTGTGATTTTAGATGATTCCACGATTTTTGGATTTTAAGGTAATATAATGTAATTTCTGGAGGCTTTAAGTTCTTTAGCCTTTATTTTGGATAAAGACAAAAGATTAGATTTTATTCGCTTAAGATCTTCTTTTATGTCAATAGTTTTTACTAGATCAATTTTTTCAATTGCCTCTTGAAGAAGATGTTGTTTCTTAGTCTCTTAACATATTTCTACTGTTCTTGAGTGAGTGTCTTTTAAAAGATCCTTTAAGTATTTTATTCACTAAAGATTTCTTCTTGAATTTTAAGGATTCGTAGTAGCAAAATAATTTGGATATTTTGCTGTCCTATTAATACCTGATCTTGGATTGCTAAAGGTTGAATATTGGTTAATTTGTAGGGATTTCCTAATTTTCCTACTTCTTTTAAGGTGTCCTGATTGTTTGAATTTTGAGTGAAAGGGGTTTTACCCATTCAAACCAAGAATTAATTTTTGAAGTTTCTAGACTTGTTTTAACAACTCTCCTTGATTTTGGATCAAGGTAGCTGTTTGATGGTAAGGATTTTGAATGAAAGGATCTGACTCTCTTTTATGCAAAATTTGAGAATTAACTAAATTGATTTTATTTTTAATAAATTCAATTTATTATTGCATATAGTCTTGATTTTCAATTAGTTTTACAATATTTTTATTGTAATGCTTTTCAAAGCTTTGGAACCTTTCGAGTGCTACTTTTTCTTTTTCTTTTTTATAATTTTTTGAGACATTTATAATTAAATCTACAATACTATTTAACCGACTATTATCTAAATGTAAATTATGATTAAAACCTAGAAACTACACATTATATTATGATTATCTAAGATTACTTTTGATTTTTTATATGGATGTGAAATAGCTAAATCTAAATAATCTAAACTCATATTGTTTACAAAAATAAAATTTTTGACTAAATCAAAATATAATAACAGATAATAATATTAACAATAAAAACAAACAGTATTTGATAGAGTAAATATAAATAGTAATAAGAATTCACAAAAAGTAAATAAATATTATAAAGAAGTAAATGAACAAGGAAACCAAATATTAACAACAAGACAAATTGGTAAACAAATTTTGACCAAGTTAGTCAACAAGAAAGCAAAGCCACGTAAATGGGAAATGATAGAAATTTTGAAAGTCTTAACCTTTAACACAACTATAATGTAGTTTGACACCAAGTGAAAATTAAACAAGATAAAAATCCTACAATTTGAACAAAGACATATATTAAGGAAAATTATACAATCTAACACATATTAATGAAAACTTGATTTTTTAATACAAAGCAAATAAACTTTTACATAATAAGAAGTAGAAGCTTTAATGTAGTTAACTAAAATATAAGACAAACTATATATTTGGTAAAGATTTTCATCTGTAGATTAAAATTTGTTCACTTTCTATATTACATACAAATATATAAATGAAATAAAGATAAATTCACTCATAAAGTTTTTAACTTGAACAAATCACTTAAATTTAACGTGCGATAATATCTAATGTCAATAATTTATTGACAATAAACTTATTACTAACATATAAATTAATAGATTGTTCATATCAGATAATATCATATGTTAAATTTGAGATAATTTATTAAAGTCAAAAATTTTAAAGTTGAATTTGTTCTCGGTTTTTATTTAAGGGTGGATGCATCCCTATTACATAATTTTGGAAGTAGATTTCAATATTCTCCTTTTTTTTTTTTTTTCAAAAGATAAGATTTCATGATGGGATTTTTTTTAAAATTTTAATTTATAGTTGAAATTGTATCAAATTATAAAATAAAAATTTTTAATTAACGATCTATTGATTCAAGTGGAAGAAATTATAAATAAAAAAACTATGAATAAAGAAACAAGCACTAAAAGAATTTTTCTTTTATTGAGTCCGACGAGACTTAATTTCAAATTAATTAAAATTTAATGTAGTTATTAAATATCAAAAGGTTAAGATAAAAGAAATTAAAAAAAAATTAAATGGGTTGAAGAACTTCTAATATTAAAAGACTCATTTCTATTTAATAATTAAAATTATATACTCTAAAACAATTTAAATTACATAAACTTTTTTTTTTTATCTAAATACAAGTAGAGTTAGCTGTGTTATGTTTTTTATTCCACTAAGCATGAATATTTTATCTCCCTTTACATTTCATGCATTAGACATGCAATTGCCAACGAAATCCTTCACCTGCATAATCAACGTAGTGGCTTCGCTTAATTCTGGAAAAACATAGAACGCGTGAACCATGTTTGGATACTCGATTAAAGTCGCATCCTTCCCTGATTTCTTTAACCAATCATGGTACCTCCGTTGCCAATCCTGTAACGGGTCAAACCCACCCACAAACACCACCGTCTTTGGAAACTCCAGACCCGAAATATCTACCGCATTTGGCCCGCTCACATTTGATGCCCCATGATCCCGATTCGACCCGATTGGCAAAAATACTTTCCAGCACCAGTCGGTTCGTGGTACCGAAACTAAGAAAGAGCTGGACCCTACTAGTCGGTTTTCTGCATCGGTCCGTTCCTCCCCTCCGAAAAATGGTTGTATAGAAACTAACCCGATTAGTTTAACCTTCCGGAATCCAGTCTGTGAAGCTCGGACTGCCACGTGGTGTGCCAAGTTGGCGCCAGCGCTATCTCCGGCCAAAAAACACCGGCGCAGATCAGCATTTTTTGGGAGTACGGTATCGCTATTTTCGTCGAGGAACTTAAGAACGTCAAATCCGTCGTCGTATTGAGCGGGGTAGCGGTGCTCCGGGGTCCGACGGTAATTAACGGAGATGACAAACGCAGGGAGTTTACGAGCAAATCTCCTGCAAACGGCGTCGTAGGCTTTAGATGAAGGGCTGAGGAAGGTAAATCCACCTCCGTGGAAGAAAATGAAGACCGGAGGGTTTGAGTTGGCTGCGAGGGGGCCAGAGGGGGAAAAGAGACGGAACCAGAGGTTTCGGGTACTGTCGACGATTATGTCGGAGGTAGAAACGGATTTGATGGGTTTGCCGTTGGGAGGGGCCTGAAAGTCGAGGAAACTGAGGAGGCGGCGGTTGACAGTGCCGTCGGGACGGCAAGTGAGGTCCGTAAGAGTCGAGAGAAATGAAATGGCGAGCCTGGTCCTCCATGGGAGTGATGACGTGGGTTGTGAAGTCATGATTTGTATTGGTTTTAGCCGATGCCGACACGACTAGAGTGGATGAAGCAGAAGAAAAAAAAATGTGAAAGGGGATGATTTATGAAGGGCAAAACCATAGGTTAAACCCCTAAACTAATCCCAGAATCGCTATTAAACCCCTGGACTTTAATTGATGCATATGAGCCCTTGAACTCTGGGATCAAAGCAATTAAGCCCTTCTTCTTACGCCAACTTAACTGTCGTTTGGGACTTCCTCGCCAGGCTTCACTGCCGTTTGAGACACACCCGCTTGGCAGCTTGGATGGCAAAATATTGCCATGTCATGCTTACATGACAAGAGACTTCACATTTGAGCGGAATTTTTGAGTTATTTGATCATTTAATTTTTTGATTTAAATAAAGTTTAAATAAAATAAAATCATATATTTAGATAAAAATATTATTTAAATGAAATCTTAAATTTAGATTTAATAAATATAGTAATAGATATTCATTTTTTTTGTGATTCATTGTGATTTAATTCTAAATTAGTTAATACTAATGTAATTTTTAAATTTTAAAAGTTTAATATAAAAAATAGCATCACTTAAAATGATAAATTTATAATTATATGATATATGATATTAAATAAATATAATAAAAAAACATATTAATTTTAATTTTCAAAATAAATTAAAAGTTCTAAATTTAAAGCAAACACCTCATTTTATCTAATTAAAACTCAATTTAAAATTTAAAATTTTATTTTATAAAATATTAATATTTAAATTTATAAATTGATTTCATTATAATATACAATTAATTTTCAAATTTATTATTTTAATAATATGA